ATCAACATCTAACCACCCTCACTATATGCTCGGGTCCCTCTTCCTCCACCACCAGCAGGGATACTTACCCCAGCCTATCTTTAGCAAGAATCCTGATAGGTCACGTTAGCCAGGACGTCTTGATGTTTGCTCTCAGTATTTTCCATCCAATGATCCCCAACCCTGCTCCTTGCTAAATTCTCACTTGCCTACACTGTATTAGGGTTTGAACCCAATCTCTCTCCCTGACTGTGAAATCCCATTGCAGTGGTCCCTATAACCATTTCGGTGGGCCAGAATACGGTCTGTGTTACCATCTTTAACAAGTATCATTGAATACTTTTTTCTTTAACACAGTCTCTAACCATTCTCTACTGGCATGCTGGGATTTTTTTTATGCTACCCCAAATAGAATTGATTTATCTTAAAAAAATAAAATAAAATAATCTTTATTGATTTCAGAGAGAGGAAAGGAGAGGGAGAGAGAGAGTTGAAACATCAATGATGAGAGAGTCGTTATTGATCGGCTGCCTCCTGCATGCCCCCTACTGGGGATCCAGCCAGCACCCTGGGCATATGCCCTGACGAGGAATTGAATAGAGATCTCCTGGATCCTAGGTCCATGCTCAACCACTGAGCCATGCCAGGCCAGGCTTAAAAATTTTGAATTGAGATATAATCAAGTATCATAAAATTCAACCTTTAAAGCATACAAGTCAGTAGTTGTCAGCGTATTCAAAAGCTGTGCAACTATCACCAGTACCTAATTCCAGAATATTTTCATCACTCTAAAAAGGAACTCCTATGTTCATCAGTCATTTCCCCTTTCCACAGTCCCTGGCAACCACTGATCTACTGTGGATTTCCTATTCTGTACATTTTACATAAATGGAATCATACAATACATGGCCTTTTCCATCTGGCTCTTTGATTTAGCATAATGTTTTCAAAGTTCATTCATGTTGTAAAGCATGCAGTTTTTTCCTTATTTATTTATTGTAAGAATGATACACACACACAATCACACTACTATGGCTAGAAAGGCTTTCCTTAGTCCAGGATTGCATACATAGTTGCCTGTACTTTCTTCTGGCATTGTTTTTACTCCTTTTAGATCTGTTTCCGGACTTCGTATCATGTTTTACTCCTTTGTTTGCTCAGTATCCCTCTATAACAACTGTGTTTAAATTACTCTCAGTAGAATCAGTTGTTCATTTTGACTCTTCTTTTTAAGATTTGCCTAGTTCTCTGAGCTTATTTATCTCCCCAAATTAACTTCAAAATCATTTCACCAAATTCTAGAAAAACAATCATTGGGATTAGAGTTGGAATTATCTTCTACTTGCTTTGTTTATTTGGAAGAAATCTTACCTCTTCAAAATCCAAGTGTGGTCAGGAGAAAAAGAAATTATATTTAGACTGTTGCTCCAGATATAAGAAGAATCTTCTCAGAGGGAGAGAGTGCTCTTTTTTGGGGGTGGGTGGGATGGCTCAGTGGCTTCTTTGGTTAGGAAAACTGAAGCCTCCCCAGCCCCCAGTGTCATCCAGATGAATAAGAGGGGGAGAAAGAGACAGTGAAGCTCCTCTCCATTATAAACTAGCAGGAGGTTTGAGTTCCCAAAGACTAAAAAGGAGGGTTAAGTGATCCAGAAATCAGAGGGGCGGAGACGATAAACAAAAGATGTCAAGAGACAGACAAAAAGAGGCAATTCTAAAAGACAGCAGCAGGTGGGAGCTAAGAATAAAGGATACAGTGAGAAATTCTCCACAGGAGATGACCCGCTAACTTTAAGATGTGTGAGATTTAATTTTTCAATGCTTCTTTTTTATGCTCTTTGTATTTATATACTGTATCTGTCTCCCTTCCCCCCACAATGCTTATTCACCATTAGCAGCCTCAAAACCTCAGCAAAAGTCTTGTACAAAGCAGCCCTGTATTGGTGGTGCTCAGCTGGGCAATGAAAGAAAAGACACGATGGCCCAAGACAAGGGTGACCAGGAACAGAGGGTGGAGCCACAAGCAGTGGTTAGTGGACATCTATGGAGGGCTTTGGACATGCTAAGTACTCAATAAACGTATAGTGAATAAATAAACGATCAAGTAACAGGAGAGCAGAGAAACAGTTGTAGTTCACATTGATCAAGGGGAATATATGCCCCTCCATCGTCTCTGGAAGCTCCTAGAGATTTTTGAGAAACTGTCAGACTTTCCACAAGGTGAGAACTAGAGCCATTTTATTTACATATCAAGAAACAGCTGAGCCCATAAATCTGGGATGCTTGGGATCATCTGGGTCACATAGGGCTATCCCAACTACAAGCGCCATATGACCTAGTATGCATTCAAAACTAATGTTTATTTAGGCCTCTCTGTGGAGTTCTGCAGTGTTTCTCCTTCATTTAAGCTCTATGGTCTTGTTGAGTTAATTCCTAGGCATTTCATATTTATTCATTTTTGCCTCTGTGATGGCATTTACATTCCCATTATATTTTCTAATTGCCTCTACATGAAAATGACTGAGCTTTATATATTCGTTTTGTGACCTAACTGAACTCACTTACTGTTATAATGATGGTTTCTTGGCTGAGTCTCTTGGGTCAATTGTGAGGCTTTGGATGGATGGAGAGGCACAATGAGATCCCATCAAAAGCCTCTTTTTAACCATATAGTTGGAAACATTAATTGTATCTGGTGCTTCAGGGAATAATTTAGGAGCTTCGAGGATGACAACTAATTTCTGGAATGAAATCTTAAGAAAGTACAGAGTTTTACAGCCAAAAGGCTGAATAAAAGCAAAAAGAAAGAGGAAGGAGATGAAAACATTTGAGACAGAGACAGTGGCAGAGGTGGAGAACTCGCTGATTATTAGCTCAGGAGAAACAAGGGGGTGCAAGTAACCTGAACCCCTCACTCCCTAAGGAGAGTGAGCCTAATGGAATCCTGCCTCCCCCACTGGCTTAAATGGGACATTATATCTGTTCCATAGAATCAGGAAGAAATGTCTCCTTTGTAGACCACTGAAAATGTTCTGATTAGAAATGTCGATGTAACAAGGAAAAAGTAATAAGAAGCCCAAAGAAAAGCTCTGATATTTGATGTGCAAATTGACTTGAAATGACAAGTGCATAGAGAACAAATACAGAAGAAGAGCTAGAAAAATCCTGGAAAAAACAAAGAAAAAACTTCCCAACAAGGTGGGGTGAGGGGAGGAAGGAGCTGCCAGCCTACCAGACATAACATACTCTAAAGCCTCTACAATGAAAATAATTTGATATTGACATACAAATAGACTGGATTTTATATGGAAATTCAGGATATGATAAAGGCAGCATATCGAATCAGTGGGCAAAAAGATAAACTTTTAAATTAATGTTGCTGAGAAAATGGCAGAGTAATGTGAAAAAAGGTAATTATGCCCATTCCAAATACCACACACCAGCATAATTTCCAAATGGACGAGACATTTAAATGTAAAAAAGTAAAACAGACAAGTACTAGAAAAAAATATGGGGAAATTCTTCTATTATTTGGGAATAGAGAAGCTTTGCTAACTTGGAATCAAAGTTTGAAGCAATAAGGAAAATGATAAACTCTATTACATACACAGTAAAAAAATATAATTACGTAAAAATACAAATAAAAAAACTAGAAAAATGTTCAACTTATAACAAGCAGAATTACTATCCCTAAAATTTATTTGTAACCCTCAAATCAATACTCATGGTGTTTCAGCCATCATTTGCAGACATATGCAGAGTAGAGAA